GATTTGGGATGTGTGGCACAATAGGAGAATAGGCTCTGCAGTGGTTTTCTTCAGGAATCTGCATTGTCCAGGCACCTCCTTGCTCCAGAGCTGTTGGAGATAGGGTGCAAACCATCTACCCCCTTTTCTTTGTGCTTCTTTGCAGGCTTGATCACAGGCATTACCTCTTGGAGTGTCCCCACAAATACAGTGTTGCTGATCTAAGGCAGGTGAGAGTTTTGCATGGTCACAGAATCACAAGAGTGGTTTGGGTTGGAAGGGACCTTAAAGACCATCCAGTCCCACCCTCTGCCACAGGCAGGGACACCTTCCACTAGCCCAGGTTGCTCCAAGCCCTGTCCAGCCTGGCCTTGTCATAGGGGTTTTGCTGGTGAACACACCCCAAGGTCCGTGGAGACACCACGTGGTGCTTCTTCAGCAGGAGTTTTCCAACAGTTGGATTTTTTCAGTGATTCCAAAGCCAGGAGCCCCATCCTGGCGGGTTGTGGGTGCTGCTCTCAGTGTTCTGGGGTCGGGTTGTTTTTTGGGAGGACAGCCTTGCCTTCGCGTGGCAGCTCCAAGAACGGGTGCAACCCAGCCCCAAACCCCTTCTCCAGGAGCGCACTGACCCCCCCCACTGACTCCCACAGATCGCCGACGGCGTCTTTGAGACCTTCCTGCAGTCCCTGCTGCAGTTCGCCTCCCACCACGTCTACAGCTGCGACCTGTGCACCCAGCGCGGCTTCATCTGCCAGATCTGCAACGGCAGCGACATCATCTTCCCCTTCGAGTTCGACACCACCACCAGGTGAGCCTCCCCTCTGTCCCCCCTGCAGCCAGGACACCCCAGGGGCACGCCTGGCTTCTACCACGTGCCTGGGAAGTGCAGACCCCCCCAGAGGGACCCAGAGGGTCCCTCTGGGGGGGTCTGCACTTCCCAGGCACGTGGCCTCGGGGTTGAACTGGGAATGGCTCTGATGTGGTTGTGTATCCTTGTGGTGCCCATGTCCTCATGGGACCGTCCTCACAGAGCCAGGATGTCGCCAAGGCTTTTGCACATTGAAGATGCAGAGCCACCAGCACCTTGCTGTCAGCCTGCAAAGGCCTTGGTGGGCAGCTGAAAGGGCTGGAGAGGGAGGAGGAGGAGCAGCAGGAGGAAGGTGCCTCTGCCTCACTCACCTCCCGTTCAGATTCAGCCTGGCCCCTTCCAGGGGCTGCAGGAGGGAAGGGGAAGCAGCAGTGGGACTGTCCTACCCCTGTCTACAGCCAGGGAGGGGAGGAAAGGTGCCTGGACATGGATTTCATAGAATCCTAGAATGGTTTGGGTTGGAAGGGACCTTAGAGAACATCCAGTTCCACCCCCTTGACACAGGCAGGGACACCTTCCACCAGCCCAGGTTGCTCCAAGCCCCGTCCAACCTGGCCTTGGACACTTCCAGGGATCCAGGGGCAGCCACAGCCTCTCTGGGCAACAAAGAGCCAAATGGGCAGCGCTGTGAGATGTGCTGGGAGGAGGCTGAGGATGTTCCCAGCAGGACAGGGGTGTCAGTGGCTCTCACTGGGATTTTCCCTCTGCCCAAAGAGCTCCCATCCCTCACAGGCAGGGACCTGCCCTGCAGCAGGGTCGGCTGTCGCTTGGGATGCAGCAGCTGGACAGAACTTGGAATCAGGGACAGGGGGAGGGTGGTAGAGCAGGGTTTATCCCCACCACCATCAGGGTTTGCTGAAGAAGTCAGCATCCAACCCTTCCAGCCCAGGAGCCTGCTCCATTTTAGGTGGAGAGAGATCCACATCTCCATGGTTATTTCATAGAGTCATGTAATTGTTCCGGTTGGAAAAGCCCCCTGAGATCATCCAGTCCAACCATTCCCCAGCACTGCCAAGGCCACCACTAAACCATGTCCCCAAATGCCACATCCACACAGCTTTTAGGACCCCCTCCAGGATGGGGGAGACTCCAACACTGCCCTGGGCAACCTGTGCCGGAGCTGGACAACCCTTTTCCTGAAGAAATTTTCCCTAAAATCAACCTAAACCTCCCCTGGGGCAACTTGAGGCCATTTCCTCTTGTCTTGTCATATCCTATTTGGCACTGAGCACAATCCTGGCAGAGAGATTTCACAGGCTGATGGTCTGCACGACCTCACTTTGCCTGGCAATCCCTAAAAGTGAGCAGCAGCTCCCAGAACCTGCAGAAAATACCAGGGATAGGAAGGATCCGTGGGTGCCCTGCGTTTCGTGGCTGTATTTCCGTGGTGGCTGAGCAGCACTGCTCACTCCCCTCCCTGCTGCAGCGACAGCAGCGAGCTCATTATCGAGAAAACAACACCCCCAGGGGGCCTGTTTTCCCTGGAAAAAGAGCAGCCAGGCTCTGGAAAGCGCCGGCATGTGTGGCTGAGCTGGCTGGCAGGCGGCTGGAGGTCTCGTGCCCCGCAAAGCCGAGCTCTGAAGTTGGTTAGACGTCTTTCTTTTTCCACCCGACGGAGGAGGAGGAGGAGGTTGTGCAGCAGGAAAGCGGCTCGACCGCCGTCCTCGCGGAGCTAAACCCGGCTTCCTGCCCCTCTGCCCGCCCCGGGCTCACACCGGCACTCGCTGCAGGATGTGTCTGCAACACCTCTAACAATGACCCCCCTCCCTCCTTCCCGGGAGCGGGACCCGCTCTCGCAGCTCGGACGCTTCCTGCGCCGGGGCTCGGGCAGGTGGAGGCAGGAGATGTCACCTCTCCTGGGAACCAGCCCCGGCTTCCCAAATCCCACCCCTCCCATCCCCGGGGAGCAGCCACCACCGCTGCTAACCTGGAGAGGCCACATAGAATTGTATTCCAGTGGGGAAAGGCATATCTCCCGTTCCCAATCCCTCCCGACACGCACAAGTCTTTCCCTCTCCCGAGTCCCTCAGGGTTTGCAGCTCCTGTCAGGAGCAGGATTTGATCCCGGCTGTGATGTCACGGTCCCTTTGCTGACGCTGCCGGGTGTTTCGCTGCTCTGCTCCCACGGGTCCTTTGGGGAATTAAGGTGTCTGGTGCTGTTCACACATGGATTGTGCACCAGGTATTTGCACACCGAAAGATAAATCCAGCTGCCCCGCTGGCATGTGGCTCAGCAGCATTTTGCTGCCACTGGGGAGCTAGGGATCACAACCCAAAAATTGAGCTCAGCCCTTGTAGTGGGGACGAGATCGGTGACAAGGGGTCAGTGTCCAGGGTTTGGTGTCTCAGGGTCGCTGTCACGGGGCTCGTTGTTCCTGGGGTGGTTGTCACACCTTCCAAGCTTTGCTCAGCACTGTCCCCGCTGTGAGAGCAGGACACAAACCTCAGCTCACACCTCACTGGGTCTCTCTCCCACACTGGCAGCTGCCGGCGGCACCCACGACGCTCCTTCCGGCTCGGGGGTGGGTGTTTTGCTCGAGCAGCTGCTGCTCCTGCACTCAAGGCTCCTCCTGAGCCAGAACCAGAGCCAGGCTGGGGCTCAGAGAACCCCAGGACAGGGAAGTGATGCCTGCTTTGGTTGGGAGGAGGAGTTTGGTGTTTGCTCTGGTGTTACCAACACAGTGGGTGTTTTTTTTTCCCTGTCTTCCCAGGTGCAGCGAGTGCAAAACCGTCTTCCACCGGGACTGCCAAGCCCGGGCCGCGTCGTGCCCGCGCTGTGAGCGCCGGCAGCGGTACCAGCAGCGGCTGGAGGCCAGCACAGAGCCCAGCCTTTAGCCCCAGCACCGACCTCAGCGCTGCCCTCGGCTTCTCATCCAGCCGGAGGAGCCCCAGGGGATGGGGATGGCAGGAGGGGCACAGCACAGACCCCCTGCCCGGGAGCCCATCCTGCACCCCGCCCTTCCCTGGGGATAGGGACAGTGTGGGATGGGGGCTCTGGTCCTGTGGGACCCTCTGCCCACTCAGGGCTGAGCAGGGCATGTGGAAAGGTCCAACCCTCCTCACACTAACCAGGTGCTGCTCCCCGCCACCCTCCTAGTGCCAATGTCCCCTCCCGGTGGAACCCAGCAGCCTTCCCGGGTGTCAGTCCAGATTTCCAATCGAGGATGTGGAAAACTGACGTTGATCAGAGCTCTAGTTTTTTAAGATGTTCGATACTGAAAAACCGGTATTTTTTTACGTGGGGGGTTTTGCACAAGCTGGGCTGCTCCGGGGTGACAGAGCCGCGCAGGGAGGGGACAAAGTGACACTTGTGCCTTTAGGGACCTGCGCGCCCGGGGGGCCGTGGGCACCCCGAGCATCTCCCGCTCAGAGAGCCCACCCAGCGCCGTGGGAGAGCCACGGGCTGCTCCTCCCCCCTGCTGCTGCTCATCCTCGGGAGAAATTTTATTTTTCCTTTAACCCCTCCCCGTGCAAAAATAAAGTTTATTTAACAACTAGTGAAGCTGGTTTTGGGTTTCCTTCTCTGCAGCAGGGGCCAGATCACAGCTTCAACCTGACACGACGTCTCTACGGGAGGAGGGTTGGGAACGGGGATGGTGCCTGTCCCTTTTCCTCTGTCCTCCATCCCCCTGCCTGTTCTCCATCCTCAGGGGTTTTGCAGGGTGGTGGGGGGACCCTTCCCTTTTCTCCCTGCCCAATTTTCCTTCCCACCTGCTCCCCCACCGGTTTCAGCCTCTCCAGTTGTCCTTTCCCCCGCCATGCTGGTGCCGGAAAGATTTGGGCTGTGCCCACCAGCACCGTGGGACTCCCTGGGGTGGGTGGAGGCAAAACCCAGGGCACGGCAGCTCCCATGGGACCCCCCTAACGGGGTCCCCATCCCTGTGCCCGGGGAGGCCGTGCCGGATCCGGCAGCAGCGCAGATCCCGGCTGAGCCGCGGGGCTGGGCCCTTCCTGCGGCAGGAACCTCCCGAGGAGCCGTTTCCTCGTCGGGCAGCAGCGAGTCCTCTCCGCCGTCGTCCCTTCCCGCCCGCCCGAGGGGAGGAAACGGGCTGGGCCCCACGGGCAGCCCTCTCCCGGGCCGGTGGGCTGAACCCAGCCCCGCCGTGGAGCCCGGCCCCGTGCGCGTCTCGTCGAGGCAGGAAACCAGGGCGAGTCGAGACCAGCCCGGCGCGGGCACGAGCGGGACCCACGGGCGCGCACCCGCCCGCGCCCCAGCGCCGGCCGCAGGTGAGGGTCGGGGGGCTCGGCGGCTCTGGGGGCCCAGGGACTTGGGGCTCGACGGCTTGGGGGGGGTTGGGGATGGGGACGAGGACAGTGGCGCTGACCCCGGGGCTGTTCCGGCAGGTTTGGGTTGTTTGTGGAACAACCTCATGGGGCTGAGGCTCAGTGGGGACCCCGAGGGAGCTGAGCTGGGGGAGGGGGTCCTCACACACCCCAAGAGGGGTTGGGTGCTGGGTCACCGCTTCCCTGCCCCGTGTACCGCAGGCGGAGGTGCCGGGAAGGCCATGGAGGCGGCGGTGCCGGCGGAGGAGTCGCTGGTGCTGGTGGAGTACGGCTTCGAGTACCGCGCCAAGGACGGCACCTTGGTCTCCATCAAACCCAACGAGCGCTACATCCTCCTCAAACGCACCAACCCCCACTGGTGGCACGTCCGGCGGAGCGGGGACGCCCGGCCCTTCTACATCCCGGCCCAGTACGTCAAGGAGCTGCCCCCCATCGCCTCCCCAGCCCCGCTCGATCCCCCGCCGTCGGGACATGTCGCGGCGGAGCCGGCCCCGCTCGTCCCCCAGCACCCACCAGCCTACGAGTATCGGTTCGTCAGTGCCACCGAGCCGGGGGAGCCATCGGGGGGGTGCCCGGTACCCCGGGGGGACTCGGTGCCAAGGAGGGACTCGGTGCCCAGGAGGGACTCGGTGCCCAGGAGGGACTCGGTGCCCAGGAGGGACTCGGTGCTCCAGAGGGATTCCCCGCCGTCACTCAGCTCTTTTCGGGTCCCCTCGGGGCTGACCCCCAAGCCCGCCGAGCCCGTGAGACCTTCGCACTCCCTGGATGACCTGGCGCGGGTGACACGGGCACCACGCGGTGCCACCACCACGGGGGCTCGCGGGGACTCGCCAGGACACGCTCGGCCGCTCGGGAAGAGCCGCTCCGAGACGCTCTGCGCCCCCGGCAAGGACAGGGATGTGGCCAGGAGGTGGCCAGGGGCCGGCCCTGCGGCTCAGGTACGGTGACATCCCCGCTGCTGTCCCCAAGAGCTGCGCGGGGTGGGACTTTGAGTGTGTGGGCAGGCAGGACACCTGGGTCCCTCTGCTGATTGTGTGCCCCACTGCGACCCTGCGACCCCCGGCACAGGGTGGGGTGACACCTCGGCACCGCAGGCACTGCCAGGCCCCCCGTGTCCTCCCCCCACCGAGCTGACCCTGTGGGGCAAACCTACAGGTGATCTCCCCGTAGAGGTTTGCCAACATTAACCAACTCAGGGGAGGGATAAGCGACCCCCCGCACCGGGCACCCCCCTGCACACCTTCCACCCTCAGCCCCCCACCCCCTGCCTCACTTTCTGCATCCTCACGGCCCCCCCCCGGGCTCTCCCAGTCCCCCTGCCCTGCAGAGCTCCGTAGTCCCCGGGTGGGAGGCTCGGTGCCACTCTGGGGGGCTTTGAGGTGTCCCTCCCAGGTCCCGGCAGCGTTCCGGGGTGAGGGAAGGCAGAAAGGGGTTAACAGGGAAGCGCGGCAGCTCCTCCCTGCCGGGGCGGGGGCCTCACCTGGGCGCCTCACCTGGGTGCAGCGCCCGGGACCGAGGTGGGTGCTGGGTGCACCCCGGCACAGACCAGCGCCCCACGCCCCCAAACCCACGCCCACCCCACACCAGTAAGTAGCAAAGGGCCCTTTGCAGCGGCCCCAGGGCTGAACCCCTCCTGGGGGGGCACCCAAGGGTGGGGGTCCCCCCCTGGCTGCTCACCTGGCACGGGCATGGAGTGGGGCACATGGCTGAGACGGTGCCAGCAGAGGGGGGGTTCCACAGCCTTGTCCCCCACCCCAGCACCTTGCGTTGGGGTAACCCCAGGCACCTGCAGCACCCCAAGCCTGGGTGTCCCCCACTTGGAGGGGGGCTGGAGGGATTGTACCACCTGGGAGGGGGCGTTGCTGGAGGACAGGGGATGTTAGTGGTGATAGGGCTGTGTTTTACACCCCATTTTCACCCCATTTTCCATGCTGGGCCCTCAGCTGTGCCCTTTGCACACCCAAAGCCACCAGCCCCCCTCTGGTGGTGACCCAGTGGGGTCCCCAACCCCAGTGCCACCACCAGGTCATTCCCCTTCCCTGCCCAAATCCAACTGGTGCCCAAACCATCCGGTATCAGCCATGATGGGACCGGTGGTGGCCTTGGCCCTGCCACCACGTGCACCCCCCACCCCACCCTGACTGCTGGGATGGGGCGATCCCGCTGTTGGGGGACGCAGCAGCCCCAGATCAGCTTCCAGTGGCCCAGCACGGCACCACAGGGGCCAGCCTAAATTTGGGGGGGATCATCCTGTGCAATTCCTGCTCGGGTGGCCTTGGCTTTGCCCGAGTGGGTGACGGTTGGGGGGGGTGATGGGTGACAACAGCCCCCGAGAAAAGCCAATTCCGCCCCAGGCGTCTCTTCCGCTCCCCGAACCCCGGCAGGAAGCGCGGCGGGTGCAGGGCCTGGCTCAGGGCGCCGGGGGCGTTACTGGAGCCTCCCGGTGCCCCCACGGCTGCCTCCCACTCCGGTGCCCCCCACGCTGCACCCCCAGCCCGCTGCCCCCCGCCATGGGTGACCGGGAGTCGGGGGGTCCCCGGCGGGCCCGGAGCAGAGTGTCGAGGCTGCTGCACTTGGGGAAGGTAGGAAGCACCCATGGGTGCGCCCAGCGGGGGGCTGGGGGGTGTTTCGGGGTCATACTCATCCAAACCCCCCCTTGGGTTTCCCTGGGTGTTTACGGGCACTGGCGGGTGCCACGATGCCCGTTCCAAAGCAGTGAGGGGCACCCCCAGCCCACCCCAGGGAAGAAAACCCCACTGGGGATACACCCAGGGGATAGAGGGAGGTGCTGGGGGGCTCAGTGCCAGGGATCCCCCATGGTCACCCCCATGTCCCCTGTCCCCAAGAGGGAGGGTGGCCCCCTGTGCTGGATTCCAGCCCTGCTCGCCGTGGCAGGGGGGTCGTGGGGTGATGGGGGGAGGGTGAGGGGATGTCACCCGGTCTCTGTCCCCCTCGGATCCAGGGTGTCCCCAGGGACACTGGGCCTGCTGTCCCCCCACCCCGGCTGGTGGGCAGGGCCAGGGTTGGGACCTTTGTCCCCGTGGCCATTAGTGAGAGGCTCCGGCTGTAAAACTGGGGGAGTTCAAAGGGTGCCAGGAGGGGTTTCCCGGCTGGCAGCGCCTGCCTGGTCCCAGGGGACACATCCACCCACCCTGAGCAGCCCTGTGGGTGGGTGTCAGCCAGGCCAGGCCAGTGCTGGGACCTTTATTTTGGGATGTGGTGATGGTGCTCTCAGCTCAGCATCCGGCACTGGGGGGGGAGGCAGAGGCTGTGGGTGCTGGTGATGTGGGTGCTGGAAATGTTCAAGGGTGCAGGTGATGGGGGTGCTGGTGCTCTGGGTGCTGATGTCAGCGATGTGGGTCCTGGAGGTGTCCTGGGGTGCTGGTTTTGAGGGTGCAGGTGCTGGATTGCAGGTGATGTGGGTGCTGGTGTTGGTGATGCGAGTGCTGGTGCTCTGGGTGCTGGTGTTGAGGGCGCTGGGGTGTGGGTGAGGGTGGGGTGGGTGTGAGTGTTGGGGTGCTGGTGTCAGGGAGGTGGGTGCAGAGGCTGAGGGCACAGAGGCTGAGCATGTCTGTGGTCTTGGGGTGGCAGATGTTGGTGCAGATGTTGCACCAGGGTGTTCATGGTTTGGGTGGCAGTGATGCGGGTGCTGATGCGGGTGCTGGATGCGGTGGGTGATGCAGGTGCTGTGTGCAGCAGGTGACACGGATGCTGGTGATGTGGGTGCTGGTGATGTGGGTGTTGTCAGTGGCAGGTGATGTGGGTACCAGTGATGCGGGTGGGTGACCATGTGGGTGCTGCACCCAGTGGGTGATGAGGGTGCTGATGATGCGGGTGCTGCAGGTACTGTTGATGTGGTGCTGGTTATGAGGGTGCTGCAGGTACTGGTGATGTGGGTGCTGGTAACAGGGACCACAATGTCTCTCCACCTGCTCGGTCTGGACTCCCATCCCCTCTGCCAGCGGGTGCTCCTCCCCACTGTGGGGGCTGTGGGTGCCCCCTCCACGAGCCACAATCTGCACCCCATCACTGGCACCACTCAGTGGGATGCCCAGGAGGGAGCCCCAGCAGCGAGAGCAGGATCCGTGTCCTCGACCTGAGCACTGCTGTGGGATCATCCCAGGAACGCCATCCTACCTGAGGCACCCAGTGACCCCCTCGTGTCCCCCCCAGGCGCGCAAGGAGCCGGAGGAGCCGCCTGATCCCATCTACCTCAACATCCAGGAGCTGCGGGAAGAAGCCGCCGCTGCCGGCTCGGTGCCGGAGGAGCCCGGCGGCTCCGTGTCGGACTGGGAAACACACACGGACACGGAGAGTGGACATTTGTTTTATTATAACCCCCTGACGGGCCAGACCACGTGGGATTGTCCCTTTGGGCAGGCGGCCGACGGAGTGAGTCCCGCCGCCTCTCCCGCCTCCTCGCTCGCACACAGCCCGGAGTTTCCCGCCTGGGAACAGCACGTGGATGAAGGAAGCGGCCAGACCTTTTTCTATAATTCGGTAACAGGTGAGACGTCGTGGGACCCCCCCAGTGCGGGAGACACAGGCAGCCCCCAGGATATGTACCCTGGGGGGACGCGGTACAGCCCCACGGAGCAGAGGGTGAGCACCCAGCGGGGTGGGGTTGGGGTTGGGATTGGGATGGGGGGAGACAGGCACGGGCATGGAGATGGAAATTGGAATGGAGATGGAGAGACAGAGATTTAGAAGGGGATGGCAGATGTGATGGAGATGAAGATGGAGACAGAGGTGGAGATGGAGACAAAAAGAGACACAGGTGGGAGTGAAGATACAGGTGAAGATGGGAATGGAGACAGGGATGGAGAAAGGGGTGAGGATGGAGGTAGAAACATGGATGGGATGGAGATGGAGACAAAGATGGAGATGGGTGAAGCTGGAGGTGGAGACAGGGATGGGAATAGAGATGGGGATGGAAATGGGGATGGAGATGGGAATGTATATTGGGATTGATATGGAGATGGAGAAAAGGATGGCAGTAGAGACGGAAACAGGAATGGGAATGGAAATGGAGACAGAGATGGAAACAGAGATGGAGATGAAGACAGAGATGGAGACAGAGATGGGAATGGGAGACAGGGATAGGGATGGGGGTTAAGATGGATAAACAGGAGACAGATGGGAATGGGGATGGAGATGATGGAGGTGGGGCAGCCCCACCTGGGTCAGCCACAGGAGATACAGATGCTCTTGGTGGGGCACAAGATCCCCTGACCTGTCTCTTCTCTCCAGCCGCCCACTCCAGAAACGGACTATCCCGACCTGTCTCCAGATGAGCTGGAGGGTTATCCCGAGGAGGATTACTCGCCCGTGGGCTCCTATGACCAGGGAGCCACTCCCTCCTTGTCCCCGAGGCGCCCTGAGGAGCTGGGCTCACCCCCGGGCTGGTACGGGCACAGCCACCACGAGGGAGTCGTGTTCTACCCTGAGCACTTCTCTGACACGGTACGGGGACAGGGATGGGGTGGGATGGGATGGGATGGGATGGGATGGGATGGGATGGGGATAGGGTTGAGGATGGGGATGGGGGCAGGGAAAGAGACAGGGAATGGAACAGGGATGGGGACAGGGATAGGAACTTGAATGGGGACAGGGATGGGATACAGGCAGGGACAGGGGCAGGGACAAACATGGGTATAAGGGATGAGCATCCTCACGGGGCCTCAGACCAGTGTGTAGGGTGAAGACCAGCACCCAGCTGGCAGGATTGCCTCAGTCATCACCTGATCCCTCCCTCCCTCCTTCCCTGCCCAGGTGCCATCAGGTGGCCACCACCACCGTGCCAGCAGCAGCTCCAGCCAGGACAGCGGGCTCTTCGCCTGGCACAGCACCGTGTCACCGGCACTGGGCATCAAGGAGGAGAAGGTGAGAGCCCAGGGAGGCTCCCCACCCCAGAGCCGGGCAGGGCAAGGGGCAAACCTGACACCCATCCACCATCCCCCTTTGCCTTCCAGTTTAAAAGCCTCGAAAAAGCCGGGGTGCTCAACCGGACCAAGACGGTGGACAGAGGGAAGCGGCTCCGGTAAGCACGTCCTGGTGTCCCCCACCACGCAGGAAGGGAGTCCAGGGGGACAGTGAAAACAGGGCCTGTGCTGTCCCCCTGTGTGACCTCCCCCTCCTCTGCTCTCCAGGAAGAACTGGAGCTCCTCCTGGACGGTGCTGGAGGGGGGGATCCTCACCTTCTTCAAGGACTCCAAGCACTCGGCTGCCGGTGGCTTGGTGAGAGACCCTACGACCTTGGGAGGGGGGCAGCTCCCACAGGATGGGACCAGCACCCATGGGACGGGGTCAGCACCCATGGGACAGGACCAGCACCCATGGGATGGGGTCAGCACCCATGGGACAGGACCAGCACCCATGGGATGGGGTCAGCACCTGCAGGATGAGGGCAGTATCCATGGGACAGGCCAAGGACTGATGGGATAAAGACAGCACCTGTAGGATAGGGGCAGGAACCCATGGGATGGCACCAGCACTCCTAGGACAGGGCCAGCACCCACGGGATTGGGCCACCATCCATGGGACAGGGTAACATCCCACGGATGGGGTCAGAACCTGCAGGATGGGAGCAGGACCCACAGGCCAGGGCCAGTGCCCTGCACAAGGACCCCCCAGCACTGGGTCCCCCCACACTGGGGCATGTGTGCTCACACTCCCCACACAGGACCTGGGGGGAGCCAGTGTTGGAGCACCCTAAAACGCACCCAGCTCTGGTCTGAGTGAGCAGCAGGAAGCAGTGCCAGCCCCAGCCCTGCCATGCCCAGCCCCCCTCTCCGGTGTCCAGCCCGGATGCAGAAGCTGCCGTGGCTCTTGCAACACCCTGCGGTGACGGCGCCGGGGGAAGGACAGGGGACCCACGGCCAGGGGGGACACAGGGCTGGCCCTACCTCTGGGTTGGAGCTTCAGTGCTCTGTCTGAGTGGCTGCAAGGGGTCTGGGGCAAAGTGAAATATGGCCAAAGCACCCCAAAAAGCACTGGGGAAAGCCAGTCAGTCTGATGCTGTGAAAACCTCAGGGTCTGTCCCCTCCCTGCAGTTACCCACTCTCTTCCTGCTGTGTCACCAAGAGGGACCCCAAAGCTCAAGCCCACCCCGGGTCCCCTGGCAGGGCTGGGGATAGTCCCACAAGGTGATGGCAGCTGTGGGTGACAGCCACAACCCCCACCCCACCATGGCAGCACTGAGCCCTGGTCCTGAAGAGACCACGGGAGGGGACAGAGGGGACACCTGCCAGCCCTGCCTTTCTGGAGGAGGGCAGCCCACGCCCCCGCCCCCAGCAGGACCATGGTGTCCCCATCCCCTCTGGGCAGGTGCCACCCTCAACCCCTTGTCCCCACAGCGGCACCCCAGCACCCTGACCACCCCCGAGCACACGGTGGAGCTGCGCGGGGCCACCCTGGCCTGGGCCAGCAGGGACAAGTCCAGCAAGAAGAACGTCCTGGAGGTGAGTGGGTGACAGTGGGGGGACACCAGTCACCCCCCAGAGGCCACACGTGGCCTGCAAGACGATGCCACACCTGCCTGGTTCACCCCACCGGTGGTGGCAGCGGGGACAGTGGGTGACATGGTGGGGCGGGGAGCACAGGGACACGCTGTGCTGTGAACACTGTCCTGTTCTGACGGGCGTGGAGAGGTCACCAGGAGACATCCTGGCCCCCAGAGGGGTTTTTCCACTCGGGCTTTGCGCAGGGAGGAGGTTTCCAGCCGCTCCAGCCCGCCAGCAAACTGGCAACGTTTGGGGTCATCTCCGTCATGAGTTGGGCGCCGTGCTCAGCCACATCCTGGTTGCCAAATCCCGGCGGCAGTGGCAGCCCCGTGCCCTTGCCCTGACCTCTACCTGTTGCTCTGGCAGCTGAGGACGCGCGAGGGCTCGGAATTCCTCATCCAGCATGACTCGGAGCAGATCATCAGCGCCTGGCACAGGGCCATCGCCGACAGCATCGGCCGGCGGGTGAGCAGGCGCCGGCCACCCCCCGCCCCACCACCCTGGGGACAGCCCCGGGGTCTCACCGTGACCCTTCCCTAGGGCTCCGACATCCCCGGAGAGGAGGACGCCGAGAGCGGGGCTGAGCTCGGCTCCCGGGAGAAGCTGGGGAGCGGCGAGGAGAGGAGGGCGGGTGAGCTGGGACGCCCTGGGGTGGGCACCCATGTCCCTGGAGCTGGGACATGGCAGGAGCCCCCTCGGGACGGGGCTGACCCGTGCCCTGCTCCCCCAGTGGCCGGGCAGGTGGCAGGCAGCGCCAGCGCCGAGAGCGACTCCAACAGAGTACGGAACAAACTCCGCAAGTTCCTGCAGAGGCGGCCGACCCTGCAGAGCCTGAGGGAGAGGGGCTACATCAAAGGTGGGTGTCAGGGTGGGGATGAGTCAAGGGTGGGTGCTGGGATGGGGCTGAGTCTCCTCAGGATGTCCCCAAGTTGTGGGGGGGAGGTGGGGACAGCTGAGGATAGAGCTGGGACAGTGGGTTGAGAGACCAAGCCCAGCCCGGATTCGATGTCTCGGCGATGGGCTTGGGCTTGTCCCCTCACCTCCAGCCGCCCCAGTGGCACACCTGCATGGAAACAGGCCTCTTTGTGATGTCCCCAGCCCCGTCCCCCAGCTGCCACCTTGCCAGTGTCCCCTGGCCGTGCTCATGTCCCCGTCGTTTCCCAGACCAGGTTTTTGGCTGCTCGCTGCTGGCGCTGTGCGAGCGGGAGCGGGGGACGGTGCCGCGCTTCGTCCTGCAGTGCATCCAGACCGTGGAGAGGAGAGGTGCCACCCTGGGGCAGGGTTGGGGATGGGGGCACCGGGGTGGGGACAGCTCTGGGGACAGCCTGCATGGCATGGCTGGGTTTTCCCTAGCTGTGGGATTGGCCATAGCGGTCGCTGTCACCATGTGCCACCCAGCTGTGGGCACCCTCCAGGGGACAGTGGGGACACGTGGGGACCCAGAGCTCCCTAGAGAGTGGCTGCTGTCCCATCCTAGTGTGGGTCATGGTTAACTGGAAGCTTTCCCACCTCTCCATCTGCCAGGTCTGGACATCGATGGGCTGTACCGGGTCAGTGGCAACCTGGCCATCATCCAGAAGCTGCGCTACAAGGTGGAGCACGGTACGGTCACCTGTGGTGGCACCTGGGGAAAATGGGATATAACCCCCTCCAGGGGCAGGGGGAGGGGGGCACAGGGACCCCTGCCCGTCCCCTGGGGCTCTGGACTCATCTGAGGTGCTGCCCCGGCCCCCAGACGAGCAGCTGGACCTGGATGACGGGCGCTGGGAGGACATCCACGTTGTCACCGGGGCGCTGAAGCTCTTCCTGAGGGAGCTGCCGGAGCCACTCGTCCCCTTCAGCCACTTCGACAAGTTCATCGCTGCCATCAGTGAGGGATGGGGACAGGGGTGGGATGGGATGGGATGGGATGGGATGGGATGGGATGGGATGGGATGGGATGGGATGGGATGATGGATGGGATGGGATGGGATGGGATGGGATGGGATGGGATGGGATGGGATGGGGTGGGATGGAATGAGGTGGGGATGGGAGGGTGAGGTGGAGACAGGGATGGAGAGGTTACAGAATGGGGACAGGCATGGAATTGGATGGGGTGGGGACAAGGATGGGGACAGGTGAGAATAAGATGGAGATGAGGACGGGAACAGGGGACAGGGATAGGGTTGGGATGGAGACAAAGATGGGGATAGGGTTGGGGAAGGCATGGGGACAAGGATGGGATCAGGGATGGAATGGAGATGGGATTGGGAAGAGAATAAGGTTTGGAATGGGAATGGGATGCACAAGGGGATAAGGATTGGAATGGGGCCAGGGACAGAGGGATAGGATAGGATGGAAATGGGATGGGTTTGGAGATGGGAACTGGGACAGGCAAAGGTGATGGAGATGGAGATGGGGATGAGGATGGGGATGAAGATGAGGAGGGGGATGGGGATTGGGGACAAGGATGGGGGTGGAGATAGAGAGGGGGACAGGGACGGATGCTCTGGCTGCCAGAGCCAGCACCCCACTGTGCCTTCCCTCCCCTGGCAGAGATCCAGGACCCGGCCATGCGGGGCCGGTGCATCCGGGACCTGGTGCTGTCCCTCCCGCCCGCCCACCACGACACCATGAAGGTCCTTTTCCGCCACCTCTGCAGGTGACACCCCCTCGCTCCCCCAAACCCACCCCGGGACCTGGAAGTGGGGGGAACACAACCCAGGGTGAGGGACAGGCCCTGGGTTTGGGGACATGCTGGTGACACCCCCTCATGTCCCCGCAGGGTGATCGAGCACAAGGAGGAGAACAGGATGTCGGTGCAGAGCGTCGCCATCGTCTTCGGGCCCACCCTGCTGCGGCCGGCGAGCGAGGAGAGCAACATGGCCATGCACATGGTCTTCCAGAACCAGGTGGTGGAGCACATCCTCAACCACTACAGCTACATCTTCCCGGATGGATAAACCCCCAGGACACACCCTCGGCAGTGGGGACTCGACGGAGCGGCGTCTCCAGGAAGGACCCAGGCGTGTGTCACCTCGGACGATGGGAGGTGGCCGTGGCTCCACGGAGGACAGAATGGTGGCCCAGCTCGAGGGATGGGCACCCCGAGGGGTCCTCCTCAGCCACCCACTCCCACTGGGGTCAGATCCACCCCAGGGGGCCGTGGGGTTTGCGGGGTCCCCACTGGGCAGTGGACTGTGGAGCCCTGCAGGCCGCAGCTCGCCGGGGCCGGCGGCACCGAGCCGGCATTCCCGGGAGGAGAGGATGGAGGTGCCCAGGCTGGCAGTGCCTGCAGGGACATGGCACCAGCGGGAGGGAGGGCAGGGAGGAGCCAGGCTGTGCCATGGCCGGAGCCCGATTCCCAAATAAAGAGCCCGTTCAGCCGCCGGGGTCGGGTGTTGTTGGCAGGACGTGGGGACATCCCAGCGACCCGGTGGCACTGGGGGCAACATCGACCCTTGGGGATGCAAAAGGGACAGCAAAGGGCATGACTGAAGTGCTTTGGGACATGGCAGGGACACAAGGAGGATGGTTGAGGACACAGGGGTGACACTTTGGGACACAACAAGGACAGCTCAGCACGTGGCAGGGGTTTGGGACATGGCAGGGGTGGCTGGAGCACAGAGGGAACACTTGGGGACACTTGGGGACACAGCAAGGGCACTGCGGGGTGTGGTGGGGATGTGTGGGGATGTAATGGAGACAACTATTGGGGTGGAGCCACTTTGGGATGCAGTGAGGGCACTTTGGGGACACGAAGGGATGATTCAGGGATGCAGTATGGGTAACTGGGACACTTCGAGACACCTTGGGGTGCAGCAGGGAAACTTTAGGAACTTTGGGAGCCTCACGGGACCGCCGGACCCCCTCGGGGCGGGCGGGGGCGGTGCCGGGGGCAGAGCCCGGCCGGTCCCCGCTCCCATCCCGATCCCACCCCGCTCCCATCCCGATCCCACCCCGCTGCCGGCCCCGCTCCGCGCCCCCCGCCCGGCTCCATCTTGTTCGCGGCCTCCGCGGAGCGGCTCCAGGTGCGGGGGCTGGGACGGATTGGGGGTCCGGGAGGGTCGCAGGGACCCGCCGAGGGACGCGGAAAGGGGGCCCCGGGGCGACCCCCCACCCGAACCCCCTCCCCTTCCCCTCAAGACCCCTGGCGATATGGGGGACCCCTGGGCTGACCCCCCCCTATAGAGCCGTGCAGGACCCCCAACTCCTCCCAGAGTTCCCATCAGCTCCTCTCACGGCCTCTGGACCCCCGCAGTGACCCCCCAGGGCCAGGCGGGACCCCCCAAAAACCGGGGCTGTGCGGGACCGGGAACCGCTTGGAACCACCAGGAGCGACCCCGCCCCAGATCCCCCCCTACAGCAGCGACCGCCGCCCAAGACCCTCACAGGACCCCCTGGACTCCCCCTGCAGCAAAGCCCCCTTCCCAAAACCCTCACAAGACCCTCCAGGACCCCCACAAGAGCTCACACTTCCCCTCCCCAGACCCTCACAGGGCCCCCCCAGACCCTCCCAGAAGCGACCACCCTTCCCAGACTCCCACAGGGACCCCTCAGGCTCCCCAGGGACCCCCAGGCCCCTGCAGCGCAGCAGACCCCCCTCCCACATCCTCATAGGACCCCCACATGTGCCACACCCCCCTCACAGGGCCCCCCCAGACCTCCCTTTTCCCCTTGGTGCCACATCCCCCCCTCCCTGCTGCACAGGCAGGATCCAACCCCAACCCAGCCAGGGCAGGGACCCCCCTCCGGGGCTGGTGGGGGAGGAGGGAACGAGGGAAACCCCCCCGGGGCTGGGGAGGAAGAGCTGGGGACACCCCCAGGGCTGTGTCGCCCCCCAGGACCAGGCACCAGGGGGTTACAGCAAGAACCAGCTTTGGCAGCCAAAATCCCTCTTAAGGCTTTAATCTCATGAGAAAGTGGCCGGGGGGGGAAGGGGGCAGTGCCACCGTGTGTGCCCCCCCTGCTCTCCCCAGCCTTGGGGGGGCCACGGGGACAAATGCAAATTTAAGCCAAATCCCTAAACCTGGCTTAAAATTCAATGGGATTTAAGTGGGGGGGTGGGGGGAGGATGCAGTGGGGAGAGGGGCCGGAGGGTTTGGGGGGGCCCCCCCTGTCCCCCCCGTGTGGGGGCCCAGGCTCTGGTCAGGGTGTAAAGGTCGGTGCTGGCGCTGTTTGCACGCGGAAGTGGCACCGTCCCCGTGTGTGTCCCCGTGTCCCGTCCCGGCGGGGCCTCCTCCCGGCTGGCACCAGGTAGGGAGGGGCAGGGATCAGGGATGGAGCCCCCCCAGCCCGTGGGATGGGCAGGATGGGTGGTTGGGGGGTGTCCCCCACACGGGATGGGCACCCAGGAGGGTCCCCGCGTCTGTCTGTGAGGGGACACGGCGTCCCCTGGGCCTGGCACGGCCACTGTCCTGCTGTGCATGGGGACACACAGGCCCTGCCACTGCAGCCAGGGCCCAGTGGGATTGGGATCAGGGGGTCCCCATAGAGATGGGGCTCTGGAGGTCCCCATGGCCCCACAGGAATTGGAATAGAGGGGTCTCCTTAGGGACAGGGTGCTGGGGGTCCCCATTGGGATCAGGATGGGGGGGTCTCCTTAGGGACCAGTCCCTGAGACCCCAGAGGAACAGGATCCCAGGTCCCCATGGCCTCCTAGGAACAGGTCTCTGGAGGTTCCCATGATCCCACAGGGGTGGGACTCCAGGGGTCCCCATAGGGATCAGCCCCTGGGGTCTCCATGGCCTCATAGGGAAAAGCTCTGGGGGTCTTCATAGGGGTCAGGCTCTGGGGGGTCCCCATTGCCCAAAGGGACTGGGCTCTTGGGGTCCCCATGGCCCCAGAGGGGTGGGGCTCTGGGAGGTCCCCATAAGGACACTCTCTGGGGGTCCCCACAGCCCCCCATAGCCCAGGCCTTGCTCTCCTGACCCCAGTCCCTGCCCCGTGTCCCCCTGGCCATGGTGATGGGATGGAGGGGCAGCCTCCCCCAAGCCCCGTGACCAAATCCTGCTCCCCCCCACACCCAGCGTCACCCCAGCCTCCCCAGTGACACCGTCTCTGGAAGGACCCCAGGATCCCTCAGGGGGTGACACCAGATCCTGACCGGGCATTTTGGGGTGCAGGGAGGGAAAGGAGAACATCCATGGCGTCCCAACCCTCCCTGCCCTCCTTGTCGCCGCAGACCCCGCCGTGCTGGGATGGCCCCGGATGCCTGAGCCCCCCTGGTCCCTCCCCCCCGGCCATGGAGACCGTGGTCATCGTGGCCATCGGGGTGCTGGCCACCATCTTCCTGGCGTCCTTCGTGGCGCTGGTGGTGGTGTGCAGGCAGCGGTACTGCCACCCCAAGGACCTGCGCCACCACTACGACACCAAGTGAGTGACGGCGGCACGGAGGGACATCGACCCCCACGGGCTGGGGACGGGGCTGGGGACGTGTCCAGAGTCATCAGGGGGACAGTGAAGGGGACACATCCGCTGTGACTGTGGGGATGAGGCTGAGGACACATCCAGCATCATCAGGGGGACAGTGAAGGGGACATGTCCCATCAAAGGGATAAAGCTGGGGGCACATCCATAACCATCGGGAGCACAAAGCTGGGGACATGTTCATCACAGGGATGATGATGAGGACACGTACAGCATCAGCAGGGGGACAAAGATGGGGACATGTTCACCATCATCAGCGGGGCAAAGATGGGGACACGTGCACTGCCATCAGGGGGACAGTGCAGGGGACGTGTCCAGCATCATCAGAGGGAAGAAGTTTGGGACTTGTTCACCATTATCCAGGGGATGAAGCTGGGGATGTGCCCAGCATCATCAGGGCCGTGGGGCAGCCCGAGGAGGTGGCCCTGTCCCCAGGGATTGTCCCTCTTGTCCCCAACAGACCCATCGTGGACCTGATAGGGACCTCGGAGACACCATCAGAGCCCTCGGAGCTAGAACTGGATGATGTGGTCATCACCAACCCCCACATCGAGGCCATCCTGGAGAACGAGGACTGGGTGGAGGACGCCTCGTGAGTGTGTGTCCCTCCTGTCCCCCCACTGCCAGGGACCCCTGTGCAGTGCCAACCCCCCCTCGTGGGATGCAGGTGGCAGATTTGGGGATCACCAAGGCGTGGGGATGGTCCTCAAGGTGGCCTCAGGGTGGGAATGTCCCCACGGGTTGGGGGGACACAGGGTGTGGGACAAGGATGGAGCCAGGGGGCCAAACACCTGATTCACACCCTCCTTCCTCTCCACAGGGGTCTGGTGTCCCACTGCATCGCCATCCTGAAGGTGAGTCGGGGTGGCACCGGTGGCACTGGTGGCACTGGTGGCACTGATGGTGATGGTGGGTGGCAGTGGTGGTACCAATGACACTGCTGCTGTTGGTGGCACCAGTAGCACCAGTGGCAGTGTGGCAGTGGGAGTACCAGTGACACTGGGGGCGACGGTGGCAATGGTGGGTGGCCACTGGTGGTACCAGTGGAACTGGTGGCCTGGGTGACACTGGTGCCAGTGGTGGGTGGCACTGGTGGCAGTGGTGACCCTGCTGTCCCCAGATCTGTCACACGCTGACAGAGAAGCTGGTGGCCATGACCATGGGCTCGGGTGGCCGCGTGAAGTCCCCTGCCAGCCTGGGTGACATCATCGTGGTGGCCAAGCGCATCAGCCCCAGGTGATGGGGGGCTCTGGGGGGCGGTCCCAGGGTTCTGGGGGTCCCCAGGGATTTGGGAGGGGGAGATTCAGGGGCTCTGGAGGGTTCCCTGGGGCTCAGGGGGTGTCCCAGGGCTCTGGAGAGGGCTGTTCCAGGTGTTCCCAGGGTGTTCCCAGGGCTCCGGGGTTGTTTTAGGAGTCTGGGAGGAGGTCCTGGAGCTCAGGAGGGTCCTGGATCTGTGGGGGCACCCTGGGACTCTGGGGAGGCTGTCCCTGGACTCTGGGGTTATTCTGGGGGCTCTGGGGGGAAGTCCTGGGGGTCAGGAGGGTCCCAGGGCTTGAGGGGAGGTCCTGGGGCTCTGGGGTGTTCCTGGATCTCTGAGAGGGTTCCTGGGGGCACAGAGGGGGACTCTGGGGGTATCCCTGGACTCTGGATTACTTTTGGGGTTCTAGGGGGAAGTCCTGGGGGTCAGGAAGGTCCCAAGGCTCTGGGAGAGGTCCTGGGGCTCTGGGAATGAGTCCTGGGGCTCAGGGGTGGTTTTGAGACTCTGGGAGGAGGTCCTGGGGGTCAGGAGGGTCTCAGGGTGGTCTCGGAGCTCTGGAGTGTTCCTGTGTCCCTGGGAGAGCTCCTGGGGCTCTGAGGAGGGTCCCAGGTCTCCCAGGAGGCTCCAGGGGGGTTCCTGAGAATTGGGAAGGGTGTGCTGGGTGGTGTCACCACAGTGTCCCCCAGGGTTAACACCATCCCCGCCGCAGGGTGGACGACGTGGTGAGATCCATGTACCCACCGCTGGACCCCAAACTGCTGGACGCCAGGTGACACCGGCAGGGGGGACAGGGGCACTCCTGGGCAGGGGGGGAGACACCCTGGGTGGTAGCATAGATCAGTTCCACCCCCCAGCACACCTCTGGGGACACCCACAGGTGACCCAGCAGGACGGGGAGGGCCCTTGGTGTGAGCCCACAGTGCAGGGCACAGAATATCCTGAGCTGGGAGGGACCCACACGGATCATCAAATCCAACCCCTGGCCCTGCACAGACACCCCAACAATCCCCCCCTGTCCCTCAGAGCGTTGTCCAAACCCTCCTGGAGCTCTGGCAGCCTTGGGGCTGTGCCCACTGCCCTGGGGAGCCTGTTCAGTGCCAACCACCCTCTGGGGGAAGAACCTTTCCCTGAGATCCAACCCGACCCTCAGAACCTCCCCTGGCACAACTTCAGGCCCTTCCCACAGGTCCTCTCTCGGGTCACCAGAGATGGGCAAACTGAGGCTGGGGCTGTGCACTGGGTGCCAAAGCCACCACGGGGCAGGGAGGTGGCCAGGGCGGTGAGGGAGGTGACCAGGGAGGTGACCAGGGAGGTGACATGAGAGGTTGACAGAGGTGATGAGGGAGGTGACCAGGGAGGTGAGGAAGGTGGCCAGGGAGGTGACAAGAAAGGTGACCAGGAAGGTGAGGGTGATGACCAGCAAGATGATCAGGGAGGTGACAGAGGTGATGAGGGAGGAGGTGACAGAAGTGACCAAGGAGGTGACAGAAGTGACCAAGGAGGTGACAGAAGTGACCAGGGAGGTGATGAGGGAGCTGACCAGGGAGGTGACGGAGGTGACCATGGGAAAGGGACAGAGGCCCCCAGGGCAGGGAGCAGGCAGGTGACCGTCCCCGTGCCCCCGCAGGGCCGCGGCGCTGCTGCTGTCCGTGAGCCACCTGGTGCTGGTGACACGCAGCGCCTGTCGCCAGCCCAGCGCCCGCCACTGGGTCGAGCGGTCGCTGGCGGCGGCCGAGGAGCACATGGCCGTGCTGCGACAGGCGGCCATGGCCACCGAGACAGAGCGGGCCCCCGGCCCCCCCGAGCACGGCCGGCAGGAGCAGTCGGCCATCTGAGAGTCCCCCGCCCCAATAAAGGAGCTGTGCAACCCCCACAGAGAGAGGGGGGATCTGGGCACGGGCTGGTGATGTGTCTGGAGGGAGAGGGGAGGGGGGGCTGGGAGGGAAGAGGGAGGGGTTGGGGGAGGTTGGGGTGAGGAGTGGGGTTGGGGGGCTTTAGAGGGGATTTAGGGGGGTTGAGGCGGTCGGAGGTTGGTTGGGGGGAGGTTTGAAGGGGGACATTGGGATTTTTTGGGAGGGCTTGGAAAGGAGCGTGGAGGGGGTTTGGGGGGCTGCAGGGGGTTTGAAGGAGGATATTGGGAGTTTAGGGATGGTTTGGGAGGGGTTGGAAGAGAGTGTGGAGGGGGCTTAGGGGTTGTAGAGGAGATTTGGGGGCTGAGGTTGGAGGTGGTTTGGGGAAGGTTTCTTGGGGAGTTGCAGGTGCAGGGGGTTTGAAGAGGGACAATGGGAGTCTAGGGGAGGTTTGGGAGGGCTTGGAAAGGAGCGTGGAGGGGGTTTGGGGAGGTTTCAGGGGCTTCAGGATTTGGGGATTGGAGGAGGGAGAGTTTTGGGAGGCTTTGTGGAAGGTGATTTGGGATTGGGATGGTTGGAGGTGGTTTGGGGAGTTTCAGGGGTTTTGCTGAGACTTGGGGGTGAAGGGGATGGGAGTTTAGGGAAGGTTTGGGAGGGGTTGGAAGGGAGTGTGGAGGGGGTTTGGGGGTTTAGAGGAGATTTGGGGGCTGAGGTTGGAGGTGGTTTGGGGAAGGTTTCTTGGGGGTTGCAGGCAGGGGTTTGAAGGGACATTGGGAGTTTTGGAAGGGCTCGGAGGGCTTGAAAGGAGCGTGGAGGTGGTTTGGGAGTTTCAGGGGGTTTTGCAGGAGACTGTGGGGGTGAAGGGGACATTGGGAGTTTAGGGAAGGTTTGGGAGGGGGTTGGAAGGGAGTGTGGAGGGGTTTGGGGGTTGTGGAGGGGATTTGAGGGGCTGAGGTTGGAGGTGGTTTGGGGAGGGTTTTTAGTGGGGCTGCAGGTGCATTTGAAGGGGGACATTGGGAGTTTTGGGAGGGCTTGGAAGGGAGGTTTGGGTGTTTGGAGGGGGAGTTTTCAGGGGGTTTGAGGGTTGGAGAGGGGAGGGTTTGGGAAGGTGTGTGGAGGGGGTTTTAGAGGGGATTTAGGGGGCATGAAGGGGCTGTGGAGGATTTGGGGGTTGTGGGGTCTGAGGGAAGTTTGAGGCGGTTGGGAAGGATTTGAGGGGGGGCCATAGGGGTGCTGCTGGTCCCGGAGGTGCCTGCAGGGCTCAGCAGCAGTGAGGGGTGAGACCTCGGGCTGGGGGTCCGCGCCCTGGCCAAGGGGGTCTGTGCCCTGGGCAGAGGGGTCCATGCCCCAGGTGGGGGTCTCTGTGTCCCGAGCAGGGTGGGGGTTGTGCTCCAGACAGAGGTTCCCGAGCCCCGGGCAGGGGGGGCCGGTCTCAGGGCCGCGGGCAGAGGGGTCTGTGCCTCACACGGGGGTCGGTGTCGGCAATCCAGCCCCCACCCCCGGGCCGAGGCCGCCCCAACTCATCGCACGGAGCCCCGGAATGCGGGGGAAGCTGCGGTCACGTGGCCGATGCGTCACGTGACGAGGCCGAGGGTCAGGGTGAGTAGCCCGCCTGGTCCCGCCCCCTCACTCGAGCTGGCCAATGGCAGCGGGGCGGAAGGGCACGGCGACCAATGGCGGGTGAGGGGCGGGGCTTGCGGGCAGCGGGGGCGGGGCTTGCGGCGGGGACCGGGAGGGGGACCGAGAGCGCTGGGAGGTACTGGGGGCACTGGGAGGTACTGGGGACAAGTGGGGGCACTGGGAGGTGCTGGGAGCAACTGGGGGCACTGGGAGGTGCTGGGAGCAACTGGGGGCACTGGGAGGTGCTGGGAGGTGCTGGGAGCTCTGGGAGGAACTGGAGATCTCGGAACACGGAGGCACTGGGAGAACTGGAAGGAACTGGGAGGTGCTGGGGCACTGGGGGTCGGGGGGAACTGGGAGGTGCTGGGAGAACTGGAAGGAACTGGGATCGCTGGGAGGTACTGGGAGGAACTGGGATCACCGAGAGGCACTGGGAGTCACGGGGGCAGCTGAGACGTACTGGGAGTCCCGGGGGGGGGGGGCACTGGGAGGCACTGGGAGTCCCGGGGGGGCACTGGGAGGAAGTGGGAGCACCCAGAGGTTCTGGGAGTCACGGAGTCACCCGGCAGGCGCTGGGAGGCACTGAAAGGTGCTGCGAGGAACTGGGAGTCACGGGAGCCACTGGGAGGTACCGGGATCTCTGGGAGGTTCTGGGGATACTGGGAGGTTCCTGAGAGTCACGGGGGCCACTGGGAGACACTGGGTGGTACTGGCGGTGCTGGGAGCGTTGGGAGTCGCTGGGAAGTCACGGGAGATTCTGGGATTCCCTGGGAGTGACGCGGGGGGTGGAGAAGGGGGGAGAGCACTGGGAGGTACTGGGAGCACTGGGAGTCCCTTGGGGCACTGGGAATCACAGCGTGCTCTGGGGTTACTGGGGGGCACTGGGAGTCATGGAGGTGCACTGGGACTCATGGAGTTGGGGGAACTGGGAGCACTGGGTCCGGTGCTATGGGGACGGTGGGGACAGCCCAGCCCTGCCCTGGAGGGTCCCGGCGTGGGGGGAGGGTCGTGCAGTGACACCCAGGGGTCCCCCCTGAGTGGGAGGCATCCCCCCCCCACCGTGGGCTCAGACACCCCCCCGTGACACACCTTGGGCAGGGGAAGGGGGTGTGACCGCGCGGGGAAAGGGAAGTGAAAGTGATTGTGGAAGTGGGAAAGGGGGGGTGGAGCAGCGGGGGAGCCTCATCCTGCACCGCAGGGAGATGTTATCGGGGCGCTGTCGCCGCGGTTGGGGTGGCAGACACCACAGTGCTCCCCCGCCCCCCCGCTGGCTGTGGGGGCCCCCAGCACCCGAGGTGCCCCCAAAGACCCCGAGGTGTCCCCCGGGGTGGGGGGCCCCGGGTGAGGGGCTGGGGCTGGGGCTTTCCTGACACGTGGCCAAAAGGAGAAGCGAGACTTTGGGGGGGATGCAGAACCTCTCAGTGAGAGGGGAAACTGAGACCAGGAGGGTGTGGGGGGGTCCCACAGGTGCCCCCAGAGCCATGAGGACCCTCGTGCTGCTGTGGGTGGCCCTGGCCGGAGCGGGGGCCCAGCTGCCGTGTCCTGAGGGGGGACCGTGCCCCGTCACCCCGGTGAGTGTGCAGGGTTTGGGGGGGGCACAGGGGGGTCCCCAGCAGGGGATAACCCCCCCCCATGCCCCCCTCCCCAGGCCCTGCCTGCCCGCAGCGCAGTGGGATGCCAGGATGGCTCGTCCTGCCCTGCCAGCACCAGCTGCACCCTCCCTGAGGTAAGACCCCCCCACCGATGCCTGTTTTCCCCTCTCCCTGACATTTCTGGGGATTCCCTGACCCCCTCTGTGTCTCCCCAGAGCGTCCCCTGTGCCGGGGGCCAGCTCTGCTGTCCCCAGGGGTCCCGCTGTGGCGCTGACGGGGAGTCCTGCGTCCCAAACCCAGGTATGGGGGGGGCTATGGGGGGGTGTGGGGGGACAGGAGGGACATGGGGGCTCCTCACCGTGTCCCTGCAGCCCCCCGTGCTGTGCCCTGTCCCGATGGAACGTCCGAGTGTCCCGATGACGCCACGTGCTGCGTGACGGCCGGCGGCGCCTGGGGGTGCTGCCCCATGCCCCAGGTACGGGCTGGGGGGGACATGGGGACACTTTAGGGGGTGGCACAGCGAGGCCGTGGCCGTGACGAGCGTCTCTGGTGCCCGCAGGCCTCGTGCTGTGCCGACAAGGTGCACTGCTGTCCCCACGCCACCACCTGCGACCTGGCCCGCGGGCACTGCCTGTCCCCCGGCGGTGACAGGGACGTCCCCCTGAGCACGGCCTTCCCCGCCTGGAAGCGCCAGCCCCCCGCCCCAGGTAAGGGGTGTCCCCACGGAGGGCACGCAGGGGTGGGGAGGGGGTTTTGGTGGCACGGTGGTGACACAGAGTGTGTCCCCCCACCCTGCAGTGGAGCTGCGCCAGGTGCTGTGTCCCGGCGGCCGCTCGGCGTGTCCCGACGGAGCCACCTGCTGCCAGCTGTCCCCAACCGAGTACGGCTGCTGTCCCCTGCAGAACGTGAGTGCTGGCACCGCCCTGGGCGCCCCACGGTGCCAAACACCCCGAATGAACCCGTCATGTAGGCACCCCAAACTGCCACCCCTCACTGGGCACCCCAGACCAAGCACCCTGTGCGTGGTCACCCCACACTGGGCAGCCTGTAACAAAATAAGGACCCCTCACCGGGCAACCTGTGCCTGGCACCCCAAACCAGGCACCCCACACCCACCAGTCACCCCATCCCAGGCCAGACAAGTATCTCAAGCCAGATACCCTAATTCCAGGCACCCCACACTGCTCACCCCATGCCCAGCACCCTGTATTGTCCCCCCCATGCCAGCTGCCCACACTGGGCACCCTGTGCTGTGTCCCCAACACCTGGCACCCTGTATTGAGCAACCCCCACTGGCCACCCCGTGCTGAGCACCCCATACCGGGCACACATATGGGGTACCCCACTGCAGGCACCTCATGCCGTGTCCCCCATGTTGGGCACCCTCTGGGCCATGTCCCCCCAGCATCCCCCCTGTCCCCAGTGTCCCTGTCACCCCTGTTTCTCCCTCTCCCCAGGCCGTGTGCTGCAGTGACAGGCAGCACTGCTGTCCCCAGGGCACCACCTGTGACCTGACCCGCTCCACCTGCACCTCCCTGGGGGGCTCCACAGCCCTGGTAGCGCTGCCCACAGGTGAGACCCCCCCCCCCCGGGGGGGCAGCCACCCCCTCCACTGTGTGCTGTCCCAGGGAGGGGACACCAGCTCTGAGTTGTGCCCGTGTCCCCAGCTGGTGAGATCAAGTGTGACGAGGAGACGAGCTGCCCCGACGGCAACACGTGCTGCAGGCTCAGCTCGGGGGCCTGGGGGTGCTGCCCCCTCGAGCAGGTACGGAGGCTGGGGGTCCCCTGTGCCCCCTGGGACAGGCAGATCCTGTCCCTTGGGTGAGGTGAGGGCAGATGTCCCCTTGTCCCCCTGGAAGGGACAAGGGTGGGAGTCTTTTCTACAGCCCCCAGGACAAGGCTAGATGTCCCCTGTTCCCCTTGGAGGGGCAAGGTGGGGGTCCCCTGAACCCCTGGGTGAAGCAGATGTCCCCTGTCCCCTGGAAGGACACAGAGGGCTCCCCCTGCCAGTGTCCCAAGGGGGTGGTGGTGACCCTGGGTCCCTTTGACATCCCACCAGTCAGACCCTCTGTGCTAACTGGGACCAGTTTGGGGTTCCAGTGGCAGGAAGTGGTGAAGGGACGTGAACCCCCAGGGTGCTCAGGGACCTTCACGTGTCCCACTGTCAGGGTGGAGGGGACAGGACTGATGACAGGGTCCCCCACAACTGGCTCGGGGGGAATGGGGATAGCAGGAACAGACAGGAAGGACGGGTACATTTGTCCCTGAGGTCCCCATGGGGGTGTCCCCTGTGCTCAGCCCCCTCTTTCTGCCCCCCAGGCCGTCTGCTGCCCCGACCACGTGCACTGCTGCCCCCAGGGCTACACCTGTGACCCCGAGGGGGGCAGCTGCCTGCAGGGGGGGGTCCCCCGCCTGCCCTGGGTGAGGAAGACCCCAGCATTGCCCCGAGGGGGACAGGTGACATCAGGGAACGTCAAGTGTGACGAGGAGACGAGCTGCCCCGACGGGAGCACGTGCTGCCGTACCAGCCTGGGCACCTGGGGGTGCTGCCCCCTCGAGCAGGTCCGGGGGGCTCTGCCCACCCCCCCACTGTGGGGACAAGGACACCTTGGGGTCCCCAGCAGGGTGGGGGGCTGGGGTGGTGAACCCAGGGGGATGAGGGGACCTGGGCTGAGCAGAGATCCCAGGGGTGACCTTGGAGGGGGGGACAGGGCTCACGGGACCCCAGGAGGCTGGAGCAGCTGGATGGGGGACACGGGGACATTCAGCAGGACACAACCACCTCCTTTCCACCCCCCTCCCCAGAGCCACCCATACCCCGTGGGGTGGAGTGGGGCTCCCCTGTGTCCTGGTGGGACAAAGGCCAATGTTTCCTGTCCCCTGAGAGGGACAAGGCCAGATGTCTCTTTGGTCCTTGAAGGATGAGGGCAGATGTCCCCTGTCCCCTGGGTGGGGTGAGGACAGATGTCCACTGTCCCCCAGGAGCGATTCAAGACTCCCACCCCCCAGCATCCCACAGGGAGGGGGTGACACTGGGCCCCTTTGGTGGCCCTCCCCAGTCAGACCCTCTGTGCTAACTGGGACCAGTTTGGGGCTCCAGTGGCAGAAGGTTGTCTAGGGACACAAAGCCACCAGGATGCTCAGGGACACAAGGGTGCTCAGGGACCTTCATGTGTCCCATGGAGAGGGACAAGCATCATGAGGGGGTCCCATATCTGTACCCCCTCAAAGTGAGGATGAAGCCAGGCTGGGTCAGGCGGGACTGGGGACGGCAGGAACAGACAGGAGGGGACACTTCTGTCCCATGGGTGTCCCTGTGGGGGGCTCCCCTATGCTCAGCCCCCTCTTTCTGCCCCCCAGGCCGTCTGCTGCTCCGACCACGTGCACTGCTGCCCCCAGGGCTACACCTGTGACCCCGAGGGGGGCAGCTGCCTGCAGGGGGGGGTCCCCCGCCTGCCCTGGGTGAGGAAGACCCCAGCACTGCCCCGAGGGGGACAGGTGACATCAGGGAACGTCAAGTGTGACGAGGAGACGAGCTGCCCCGACGGGAGCACGTGCTGCCGTACCAGCCTGGGCACCTGGGGGTGCTGCCCCCTCGAGCAGGTCCGGGGGGCTCTGCCCACCCCCCCACTGTGGGGACAAGGACACCTTGGGGTCCCCAGCGGGGTGGGGGGCTGGGGTGGTGCAGCCAGGGGGGTGGGGATCTCACCCAGGGCTGAGATTCCAGGGGTGACCTTGGAGGGGAGGACATGGCTCACAGGACCCCAGGTGGCTGGAGCAGCTGGATGGGGGACACGGGGACATTCAGCAGGACACAGCCACCTCCTCTCCCCCTCCCCAGAGCCACCCCTACCCCATGGGCTGGAGTGGGGCTCCCCTGTGTCCTGGTGGGACAAAGGCCAATGACCCCTTTCCCTTGGAAGGACAAAGCCAGATGACCCTTTGGTCCTTGAAGGATGAGGGCAGATGTCCCCTGTCCCTCAGGAGGAACAGGGAGGGCTCTACTCCCCCATGTCCCACTGGAATGGGGCTCTTTTGCTGCCTCCCCTCTCCATGTGACCCTCTGTGCTAACTGGGACCAGTTTGGGGCTCCACTGGCAGAAGGTTGTCCAGGGACACAAAGCCACCAGGATGCTCAGGGACACAAGGGTGCTCAGGGACCTTCATGTGGGACAAGCATCATGAGGGGGTCCCCATATCTGTGCCTCCTCAAAGTGAGGATGAAGCCAGGCTGGGTCAGGGGGTACTGGGGATGGCAGGAACAGACAGGAGGGGACACTTCTGTCCCATGGGTGTCCCTGTGGGGGGCTCCCCTATGCTCAGCCCCCTCTTTCTGCCCCCCAGGCCGTCTGCTGCTCCGACCACGTGCACTGCTGCCCCCAGGGCTACACCTGTGACCCCGAGGGGGGCAGCTGCCTGCAGGGGGGGGTCCCCCGCCTGCCCTGGGTGAGGAAGACGCCGGCACTGCCCCGGGGGGACAGGTGACATCAGGGAACGTCACATGTGACGAGGAGACGAGCTGCCCCGACGGGAGCACGTGCTGCCGGCTCAGCCTGGGCACCTGGGGGTGCTGCCCCCTCGAGCAGGTCCGGGGGCATCCCTGCAGTATGGGGGTCCCAGAGGTGGGGTGGAGGTTCCGGGGCACGAGGTGTTGGGCATGGAATGGGGGGGTTCAGACAGAGCATGGCTTTGGGACCAAGCAGGGCTGAGAGGGAAAGGGGAGTCCCCCACTGTGTCACTGCCACATTTGTCACTGCCCCAACCTGCACGGATGCTCTGTGGGCACCTTGGGGACAGGGTTTGGCACTGTCCCTGGGGCTCTGCTGGTACAATGGGATACACGGAGTGGGGAGGTCGGGATGGCACCCAAATGCCCAGCTCCCTGGGTACCCAGACACCTGGATCCCCCAGATACCTGGGTCCCTGCTCCTTGGACACCTGTGTCCCCCACTGCTCCCAGCCTGTCCTGTGTCCCCCCCCTCCAGGCCGTCTGCTGTGGGGACCACAAGCACTGCTGCCCCCGGGGCTACACCTGCAACGTGGTCACCGAGAGCTGTGAGAAGCTGCTGCTGGCGCCCACCCCGCTGCTTCCAGCGCCTGCAGACCCCCGTGGGGCGCCCTCCCCCCTGCGCTGGGCACCCCCCGTGCCCCCCGCCCCGCTGCGAGCCGCCAGCGCCCACCCAGGTGCCCCCGTGCCCTGCGGTGCCACCAGCTCCTGCCGCGGGGGGCAGCGGTGCTGCCGGGCCCAGGGGGGCTCCTGGGGGTGCTGCCCCTTCGCCCAGGTTAGTGGGGGGACACCAGGGTGGGGGCCTGGGTGGCGTCACCCCTTCCCCTCCTCACCCCGTGTGTCTCCCCCCCCCCGCAGGGTTCCTGCTGCTCCGACGGCCGTCACTGCTGCCCCGCGGGGTCCCGCTGCACGGGGGGGGGCTGGGGGTGCAGCCCCCAGCGCTGGGACTTGCCCTCCCCCCCCTCCAGGGAGCTGCTCTGATGTCCCCTCTCCCCCGCCACCCTGAGTGCCTCCACCCCAATAAACGGTTTGTAGGAGGAGCCCCACCCCTGGTGCTGGTGTGTGTGTGTGGGAAACGGAGGCAGGAGGCAGAGGCTGGGGGGATTTTGTGTGTTTAATATATTAATGCCTCTAAGGAGCAGGCAGGACGTGCAGGCAGGTGCAGGCAGCAGCTCCCTGCCCAGCCTGGCACCTGGGGAGGGTCCCCATGTCCCCCCACCGCTGCCGGCCCGGCCCCCACTGGCCCTTCTTCATCCTCACCACGTAGAAAACGTTTAGAAACACAATTAAAATCCAAAGGGGGATGAGGTGGGGGGCAGGGACAAGGACCCCCCAGGCTCCTACGGCAGCTTGGAGGCACCGCTGGCTCGGGGGGCAGTGCCAGCCCCCCCTGTCCTGCAGGGACGCAAACAAGGACACGGCTCAGGACTGGGGGGCACATGGAACATGCAATTCCCACCCCCCAAATGACAGGGGATCTCGTGGGGAGGACACAGAGGGGACAGGGCAGGGATCCCAAGCAGATGTGGACGGAGGAGGCCAGGTGGTGGTCCCTCTGTCCCCTCCCCTGGCAGGAGAGTCGGGGGGGTGGGCAAGGGACTGGGGCAGGGAGGGGTGGTGGCAGAAAGGGACAGTGGTGGCAGGGTGCTGTGGGGGTGGGATGTGATGGTGGTTGAAGGGGATTGTGATGGGATGGGACAGCATGGTGGCAGGACAGGGTGGGTGGGCTGGGATGGCGGTGGGAGAGGACAGTGACAAGACAGGATGGTGTGGCACGGCATGGCACGGCAGTGGGACGGGACAGTGACGGGAGAGGACACTGGCGATGGAATGGATGACAACAGCGGTGTACCCGCCATCCCAGCACCCCCGGGACGTGCCCCCCCCTCCCCACACTCACTTGACATTGAAAACCATCAGGGGTCGCTCCTCCCGCTTCTGCCAGGGGCTCTTGCGGTCGCCGCCCTCGTCCCCCCCATCGCCCGGCTCCGTCAGCGCCTCCTCCTCGGGGCTGGTCAGGGAGTCTCGGGGGGCTTCGCTGGCGCTGCTGCTCCCGCTGCCCCCCCCGCGCCGCCCCCCGCTCCCCGCTTCCAGCAAGGGGGCCAGCGAGCTGTCCTCGGGGGAGGGGGCGGGCAGGGGGGGCCGGGGCCCCCGTCCTCCCCCACCTGCGGCGGCCCGGGGAGGCGGGCGGGGGCGCAGGGCCAGGCCCCTCTCGCTGCCCTGCAGGTCGATGTAGGAATGCCGGACCTGGGAGGAACGCCCGTCCAGGGACACGAACCAGGCTCGGGGAGGGGGACCCCAATTCCAGGAGCTGCTGCCCCGCCAGCGCCTGCAGCTCCCCGTTGAGCTGGGCCACCGCCGACCCGTCCAGCAGCACCGGGATGGCCACCGAGCCGCTCACCGGTTGGGGGGCACGGGTAGCCCCAATTTTCCCTTCCTCAAAGGGCTGCCCGGAGGATGGGGGCCGGGGGGCGGACGTGGCTGCCGAGGAGCTGGACCCCGCATCGGATTCGGGGGGTCCCTCCGGCTCGCCGGGCGCCAGGCGCATGTATCGGGCGGGGATGAGCAGGGTGGGCATCACCCCGGTAAACATCCTCGGGACCCCGCCCGGTCCAGGGGCCCGCAGAGAGGAGCGGGCCGGGGGTGCCAGTGACGGCAGGCGGGGGGGCTCAGGCAGCGGGTGCTCGGTGGGCTGCCCCCGTGGCGGGAGAACCCCGAGGGCGAGGGGGCCGCGGGGAAGGCGGGGGTGCCCGGGGTGCTGCTCCTCGGGGGGCTGCAGCCCGTCCACCGAGCGGGCGGCCCTGAGGCCGAAGGCTTCTCCGGGCGCCCATAGTCCTCCGTGGCGGGGGCTGGCGGCGGGGAGGCCAGAGTGGCCGCAGGGGTCCCGCAGGGGCCGGCGCGGAGCTGGGCGGGGGCCGGCGGCTGGAAGAAGTCCGGACGGGCCGGGGTCAGCTCGCGGGTCGGGGGGGGCAGGCTGGGGGTGGGCAGGTCGGTGTCCCCCCCCGAGGAGGCGGTCTCCAGGTGGCTGCCCCCGCACAGAAGGTCCAGCTGGGACACGGATGTCGCCTGGTCCCGGCGCGCCCCGTCCAGCGGCCCCGGCAGCGGCAGCTTGCGGTGCTGAGCACGGGGCTTCAGGCACCGTCGCCTGCGAGGGGGGAGATTCGGGGGGGCACCCGTGGGTGCGCGGGTCCCCCAAATCTGGCTAAAGGGCATCCAGGGGTGTTGGGGTTTGGTGTCCCCCACTCCAAATCCAGCTAGAGGGTATGCAGGGGGTGCTGAGGATTGGTGTCCCCCCTCCCAGTCCAGCTTCAGGGTGCCCCGGGGGTTTTGGGGAGTGGTGTTTGTCTCCCAAATCCAGTTCTAGGGCACCCAGAGGTGTTGGGGATTGGTGTCCACCTTCCCAATCCAGCTCTAGGACACCCAGGAATGCCAAGAGGGCGGATCCCCCCTTACAAATCCAGTTAGAGAGGATCTGGGGGTGCCACAGGGTGGTGCCCCCTCCCCATAACCAGCCATAGGGCACCCAGGGATGCCAGGGAATGCCCCCTCCCTCCAGCTATAGGGCACCCAGGGGTTCCAGTGGGTGCTGACCCCCCATTCCCACATGGAATGTCGGGCAGGGGGGTGAGGCAGGGGGGTGTTCCCACCCCCACCAGGGTCAGGGGGTGCTGACCTGCAGTAGTAGATGAGGAGGCAGAGGAGGATGAGGACGAGGAGGGCCAGGGCACCCAGGATGGTGAGCAGGAAGATGGTGTGGTAGGTGGTGATGTCCGTCACACCCGCCGCCATCGCCACCAGCCCTGGGGACAGCGGGGTCAGAGGGGCAACAACCCCCCCAAGGGCACCCCAGGGGGCTGCCACTGCCCCCCCAGACAGCCCTGGGGAAAGTGGGGTCAGAGGGGGAACCCCCATCCCAACCAAGAGCACCCCAGGGTGGTGCCACTCCCCACAGACAGCCCTGGAACGGGCGGTCAGGGGGAGAAGCCCCCCACCAGAGACCCCAGGAGGCTGTGCCTGCCCCTCCCCCATCAGACAGCCCTGGGATAGGGGGGTTAGTGGGGAACCCCCTCCCACCAGAGCACCTCAGGGGGATGCCAGGCCCCCAGACAGCCCTGGAGATGGTGGGGACAGAAGGGAACCCCACCCCACTCAGAGCACCCCCAAGACAGTCTGTCCCCAGGGCCAGGAAGGCCCAGGTTGGTGGCACCCACAGGTGTCACCTCACCTGTGCTGGGGGAGGGCAGAGCCGCTGCCCAGTATCCCAGCTGGGAGGAGACGAATGTCCAGTACAGCTGCCGGCCTTCCTTGCGGATCAACCCCGTCCCGTTCCGGACCCACAGCCCTGCAGGGACACACGCTGGGCTGAGACCCCCCAAACTCATCACATATCCCCCCACACCACCCGTGTCACCCCTCTACCACCCCCTCAGAACCCCCCAAAACCAGCACTCACCGCTCTTGGGGTCAAACCTCCAGGCCGGGACGCTGGTGGCCACCACGGCCGCGGCCTCGGGGGCCAAGGGGACGGACAGATGGACAGGGCCGGCCAGCGGCACCTCGGTCCCGTTGCCGGTGAACAGGTGCACACTGAGAGCCGCCACCGGCGCCAGCTCCAGCCACGTGCCATTGGCTGCGGGGACAACGAGAGGACGTCCAGAAGGGGACACGCCAAGGGGTGTCCCCTCCCAACAAGACCACAGTGTCCCACGTGCAACAATTACAAAATAAAATGAAATAAATGAAAATAAATAAAAATAAATAAAAATAAAGTAAAAAATATTTTAAAATAAAATATAAATTTCAAAAATATAAAAATAAATAAAAATAGAGTAAAAAATAGAAATTTAAAAATATAAAAATAAAAAATAAAGTAAAAAAATAAAATAGAAATTTAATATAAAAATAAATAAAAATAAAGTAAAAAACCTTAAAAATAAAACAGAAATGAAAAATATAAAAATGACATGTTTAAAAATATTATTAAATAAAAAATTATTTCAAAAGGAAAAATAAAAATACAATAAAAATATAAAAGTAAAATAAAACTAGATTAAAATTATAATAAAAATAAAATAAAATAAAAGATACATTAAAAATAAAAACTAAAATCCAAACAAAATAAAACCGAACGTAAAATAAAATTAAAATAAAAATTTGAAAAATCGAAACATTCAAGAATAAATTTAAAAGAAAAATTAAAAAAATAAAATAAAAAATATAAACATAAAAATAAAAACCAGAATAAGTAAATTTTAGAATTTAAAAATAAAAAATAAAATAAACATAGCAATAAAATGAAAAAAACACAATAAAATAAATTTAAAAATTTAAAAATTTAAAAATAACATAAAAAGAAACATCCAGATAAAAATAAAATAAAAAATTAGAAATAAAGCCAAAATAAAATAAAGAAAAGAAAATAACTACATTTAAAAGGAAAAATAAAAAGTAAAAAAAAAAAAATAAAGAAAATATACCGGTGCCGTCCTGCTCTGCGCCGAGGAAGGCGGGGAAGGCGCGGGCCAGGCTGGGGCCGGAGGCGGCGGTGAGGGACGCGGCGAGCTGGCTGTAGGTGGAGCTGCGGGGCAGGCGGGCTGCTCGCCGAGGAACTGCGCCCACGGCTGCCCACGGCCACCTGCGGGGACACGGTGCGGGTGGCAGCACCTGGGGGAGCTGGCGGTGCCACCCTCTCCCACCCACATCCCTTCCCCTGGCTCACCTGGGGATCCCAGGAGGATCTGGACCTGGTCCTCGTAGAGGATGAGGGTGGCAGGGCGCTCCGGGAGCAGGTAGAGGCTGATGGAGGCGTAGACTGCAAGGGGGGCAGGGAGGAGGGGTGATGGGGGGACCCCAAATACACACACACACTCACTTAGACCCCTCCAAGGCAAGGGGGATGGGGGGACTGATGGGTTCCCCAGAGAGGGTGGGAAAGGGGGGCCAGGGCAGCAGGAGGTGGGCACAGGGACAGGGACAGGAGGTGGCAGGCAGTGGGCAGGGTGGGGGTACCTCCTGCACACCCCCATCCGTGTACCCCTCCAACTCT